GTTCCAATATTTTCCACTGATTAAGTAAAGTATCACACCTATTCTTAAAATATTCTAAATAAAATTTCTGCTTGTCTTTATTTATATATATTGGAGCCAAAGTAATGGATAAGTAATTACGTAATGGTTAACAGCTAAAAACATAATATCTGTTAATACTAAATAGTATTAAAGACGAATTCTCTAACGACTTATATCCGTTACAATATAAAAATAAGCATTGACGTACTTCTTTTAAGTTAAATAATTCCTTACGACTCTTTAAGTACTCATGTATAGCGTAATTGCAAGTGCAATAAAATGCAATCATTTAAAAATGTGGTCATGGGTTACTTTGCACTAAGATGCCTATAAGCAACTAGTATGTAGGTAGGTATGTTCATTACGACATCACTACTAAATACGATTTTGGGCGTGTCAATGTTCTGATTGATGAGACTGTAAAGGTTATTGGCTCTTACGATCAGCCACGTGTTTTCATTTATGAATTAAAATAATTTCTTTATTACGATTAAATCTGATACCTCTTTAAGGCGATATGGAGTTTGAAAAATATTTAGAATATAAAACGAAACAGTTTAAAGTGAGTTGAAGATGCATGAAAAGTTAACTATTTTAAATCAAGAGTATGAGTCATGAAAAATATGAAATGTGTTTACATACTTTGATAGGAACCAGTCTATACGTAGTTACGCGTATGAAAACAAGATGGCTCTGATGGTAGCGAATCTGTGAAAGAAAATTTAAAACGTTTAGAAAAGTGATCGGCTATATGAAATGAATATTATTGTATGTTAATATTATTATTTATAAATACGATCTTCATGTATAAGACAATACACTAATGTGTCATATTTTAAAACAAAAATATGTATATCCACTTAACTAAACTAATATAATAATTAATAACCCATGACTTTATAAAATTAAGTATTGACTTATTGAAGTATAAATAAGCTTTCTTTGTAATGATTTATATACTTACTTACCCTTTCTTAATCTAAAAATATTATGTATTATTATTATTAAAATATTATATATTATATATTAGTAGCGCCTCTCAACTATGTATAATGTCGAAACTTAATTTATCTTTAAACAATTCTGACCTACATGATAACAATGCAATAATAGTATTTATTTTATTACTCACGAAAGTCGATTAATCTCTCTGATTAGTTTACCGCTTGCCAAGAACGGATTAGCCAACACATATTGCTCATAACAAAACACAGGACCCTGCCAAAACAAAAACGCAATTTACAATTACTGGACATTATCAAAAACTAACTTTAGGTCCACTTTAATGTGTAAGTCCTAACTATATTGGATGCATAAACAGTCACGACAAATTAATGTACGGTTTTCGTTTTAAAAGTCTAGTATGAATATTATTACAGTAAGATATAATATACCTACTTCATTTATTAAAATGTGAAGCAGACTAATATTAGGATATGGGTTTAAGCAGTTGCCAAAATTAAAACTTGTTATTCTATAGCCTTGAAGAAAATTTATCATATAACATTTCAAAACAAGAATAATATTTTTAAAAGGAATATTAAATTACTACGCTAACAACTTTTTGTACCTCTTTATTAAATTTGACGTATAAATTTAAAACAATAAGAATCCAGTCATAATTATGTAGATATTAAATGTCATCAGCCTATCACAGCCCACTGCTGAGCAAAGGCCTCTTTCTCACATGGAGAAGGTTTGAGCATCAATCAACACGCTTGCTCAAGACGGGTTGGTGATTTTAAACTTATAATTGTGAAATTATAAGTCCAGGTTTCCTCACGATGATTTCTTTCACCGTCTGTCAGTGGTATCTAAATACTCTTGGAAAGTACATATGACTCAGAAAAATCACATTGGTACTTGCCAGGATTGAACACGCGCTCTCGTGCACGAGAGGTGGGCCTTTAACCACTGGGCCACCACTGACTATATTAGATATTAAATAGGCTGAACTTATTTAATGGTACTTTTTATAGTATTGTTGACAATTACATAAGGAAGTTATTGAGGGAAGAATGGTAATTTTGAATCATATGAGTTCGCAAGCACTTCTACGTAATCAAGACTATAAAATTATATTTACTTCCTGCTTGTCGCAATTGGATGCACTATGACGCATTATTTTGACAATAAATTCTCACTGAGATGTGCAAAACTAGCGAAGCGAATCTTAAAGGAAATCCATAATTAGAGAACATCAACATAATATATAAACGATCACGAGATTAAATTTGTGATTCCCCGACCTACGTCAATAATTGCGATAATATGTAGAAAGATAGATAAATCTTTTGTTAGCGGTGCTTGGTGCATAATTAAGGTTTAATATAATTATTTTGGTTTTGACGGATTTTTTATCACGATCATTTATCTTAGAGAAGTTTATTATAGAAACACATTTTTGCGCTTCACTTTTCCGTTTCACATACTCCGTAATGAAAATTTATTTACAAATCTACACAAAGAAGATTAATCATAATATAATCCCTTTGTTTATAGGCTAGTACGGAAATAAACACAAAGAGTCCATAAATGAATTTAGTGACTTAAGTTAACTTTTATCTTTTGAATTCCAAATATGAACAACTTTGGCTTGATGCCAATTTGAGCAGATCCTTATATGTTTTTTTTTCGTGCATATTGATGTTAGATATAAATATAAATTGAGAACTAATTTTTTCTTGTCCGATACAAGTATTTTCTTTTCTTACTTAACTAAATATCCCAAATACATTGACACCTGAATAGATGCTTATAACATATATGTATTTGTGTAACAAAAACAGAACTAATTAAAAAAAAAAAGTTTCGCGATGTTACTAGTACCAAAGATTTAAAATAGTACTTCGTGATGATGGTAACACAAATTATTTATTTACTTTCAAAAGAAGTTTGTTGTAATCATGCCAACAGATAATATTATACGGAATGTGATATTTTAAGAGCCCAATGTCATTACAATTTTACTACAACAGCCCTATAACAACATTTCCGCATTTCAATTTATTTTATTGTGATATGTACACTTGTAACATCGTGTTGCGAATTATATACGGTCGGTTAACACTTTTAAATGTGATAAAATTAACAAATGTTATATACCAATTTTATTATGTCTTTTCTATCGTTTCTTGACATGCGTTACAACTTAGTCCTAAGAGTAAGTAACAGAGTCACGACACTTTCTGCCTGAGGTTTTTTTAGTATATGGGCTACAAAAAGAAAAAGTACTTCAAAATTAAAAGAAGACTTAACAGATTTGGATTTGAGTGGAATGTTTAAAATATTGTTTAAACATGGTTTTGTAAAACACATTATTGTAGACTATTGGAATTTTTATTACTTCTTAAATAAAAAACATTCAAATATTAGTTAATTGTTTAACTGCTTAGAAAATAAAATCAATTACTATATTCATTTATCGTCATTAATAGAATATTGTACTTACGAGTACAGAGCATAGGCAACCTATTTACGTAGTAGATTACAAACTTAAAAACTTGTGAAATTTTTAGTTACAATGGGTAAAGTCAATGTCGATTGTGAAGGGAATACTATTTCTGATGTGACAGTTCAGTATATTTTAATTGTAATTGCAGGTAAGTCACCTTGGATGACGTCAACTGGAAGATGAAAACATCTCAGAAGCCAAACGTCATGTAACTTTTTATGACGCTTTAAAGAGAGGACAATTTTTTTGGAAGGTATGATTAAAAAGTCAAGAAAAACTGACTCATTCAGTGGCTTCGTTCTTCTGTAAATCCCAAAAAAATACACATTACGGACGAATATATGAAAGTTTTTAAAACCATGTACAAAAGAGAACAAATATATAGTACAGAAAGTCAATGAAAGTTCTTTTATGAGTTGTTAGATATTTCCAAACTTAAACTTCTATACAGGTTATTCTACGTAATTGGAAAAGACAAGACTAACGGTTCCAGTTCCAATATCGAGTTCCTTTGCAGCTCACCATCTGTTATTTAGCACTCGCACACTTACCGTAAAGTACAAATTTTAAGAGGGCTACTGTTCAATCGTTTATAAAAATCCAAAATATGGCAGATATGACCCATATTGTAGCATACTAGATGAAATCCTTCCTTATTGTAACTAGAAAAGATTCAATTTTCTATCAAACTAAGCGTTTACTAGGAAATCTGGTAATTTAAATAAGTTGCTACATGCAATAAGAAACTTTATTGATAAGAGCATAAACTAGTAAATCGTGCTAAAGTCTATGGAAAATGTGGCACAGATTTATCGCGGAGTATTAGGAGAGCCGAGTATTTATATTAAGTGGAAAAGCTGTCGGCTCCTACGCCGACATCGCTTTTGGACGGCTGCAAACAAAATGTTATTTTAAAAAGCATAAAAAAATCTAAACGGAATCAAAGTATCAAAAAAAAGATCATCTTAAGACAATAACAACTTCATATTTTTCTTTTCGTTATGCATATCCGCTCTGATTGGCAAATCCGTTCTGTAAACAAAGTAATTACTACACTAATGAGCAGTTGATTACGCGACATGTCTCGTATAAGAATATTTGTATACCTCATAACTAATTACTTATGCATATTATAGTGACTATTTTAGGATCATAATAATCTGTGAAGATTTTTTTAATTGGACTTACGTAAAGACTACAGCGACAATTCGCACTATCGGCTAGATCGTCCAACTAATAATAATCACGTATGTGAAATGTTTTGGCTGCTGCTTTTTGTTCGCCGCGGTTATTTCAGTTTTCCAGTAGGTTTCTGTACAGGAGCAACAGTGGCCGTCTCCACGGTGGAGCATATAATTATAATAAGTAATCAGTTCATAGCTAGTTCAGTGCAATGGATGTGCCCAAAGACCACAAGGGATAGCACGATTTCGCAATTTGAATGTAGGAATGTTACGTGTTGAGTGCCTAACAGCGGATGTGTTCAGTTTTGAGTTTTGTGATATCAGTGTGAAAATCCAGTAAAATGACGGAATTTTTCGGTTCTTGGAGCGACAGCCACGATGTTGAGGAGGTGGAAGAAACTGTTGAAACAGTGACCACAACCACAACAAGGAGAAAAACTGTAGCTCCTGATGTAAGTCTCATAAGCTCAAGACCTGCACAACTTGCACGTCCTTGATCGTGAATAGCGCAGGTGTATTTTTGAAACAGACATTTATTTAGAATTGCGTTCCGGGTTCTGGAGATAATTTTCAGTCTGACTGACTTTGATCTCTGAAATTCTGTATCGTTCTCATATATTCTGATGTAATATTCACATTCTAGTTTGTTTTTATTGGATTAGTTACTTATGACATCCGATAGATGTCACGGGCGCTGTCAGAGACACGTAATGGTGATAGAAACCACGTTTCATCAAGGTGAAGGCGATGCGTGAATGTCAAATAAAATCTCTTATATATAAAGACACAATGTTTCTATGTCTAAAAATATACAATCAGTTACTTCATTTGGGAATGTGCAAAAAAAGAGATTCATGTTAACTATAACTTAATACTCTTTTACACATTAAATATAATAACAAAAGCTTCAGTTTAATTTATGCATTACTGAAACTATAAAGTGGGTGGTTGCCATTATTTAGTAACACATGTCATCGTTTATGCCTAATTAAATAAATTAATTGCTTCCACCGTCCAATTATCTTAGTGTTATGAAACCAAATAAATAAATAAATTGGTATATGGAAATTAAATTGATTACAAAGTAACTTTACGAGTGAAACGGGTCCTAAAAAAATAATTACTTGAAAATCGCCCATCTCAACTAAAGACTAATATTTGATGTAACTAAACAGACCATTTAAGATGTTAATGTAGTGTGAAATATTTTTATTTATGTCGACATTTGCTTTGAGGTTTAAAAGATAATTGGATTCAAAATTAGAACACTGAACGTCCGCTTTTATAAAGATGTAAAAATATAATAACAAAGAAATTAGATTTTTTTGTTTAAAAAAGATTATCTAAACTTTCAAAAACAGCAACTTTAAATAATTATGGTAAATACAGTCAATAGTAATTTATCCCAACCTTAATTTTATTATGAAAAGTGTCATTGAAAGCATGTACAATGTACATATGTGTATTTTTTGGTTGTTTACAAACTAGAAAAGACTATTTGAAACTTGAATCAAGGCATTACTAAAATCATAAGGGTTTCTTCGTCGCCATCATGATTTGACACAGGGCGATCATTAACGCATTTTATCACGGTGAATTAACTGTTTTATTAATGTGATAAAGATAACTCAAATAAAAAAAAATTAGATTACCTGTTACCACTCTCTAATTTTAATAAAATAGTGAAAACCTGATTGAGACTGGTTGATAAATTCCCGTCTTATTCGTTCTAATATTCTTTCTTGAAGATGTTCAACATAGGATTAGACTTTCGTTTCCTAGTTAAACCAGGAACCTTCCATTGTTAAGCACAGTAACACCAATATTTAGCAATCAAAGACTTTTGTCGCTCACTCATACTCCACCTGAGAGGCCACTGGTCTCCCAAAAATATACGCGTCCTATAGTTGGGCCTAACCATATCAGACTATGACTACTAGAGCCACACCAGGTTTGCCGTTTATCTTGAATTTTGCAAGTAAAAATCTAACCAATTCCCGGTCAGCACCTGTGAAACGAGATATCAATGCAATGTCGAATTGCTACCGTCACGACGTCGGAAATTTGAAACATGAGCTCAAATCTTTCATTGAATAAACGCCCCAAAAACATGAGCTAAATGAGCAGAGAATAAAATGATCGCCAGCTGCTTTCCAACCGGTAACGGTACTTTAACGCAACGCTTCCTGCTAGGACTCAATTTTTCCATAATACTTTGTTACTGACCTAAAATGTTATGGACAAAAATATTAAAAAATAAATAAAATAGAAAAAACTTTATATAAATAATAAAGTGTTGATTTGTCTACATTCTTTATCATACGTTAACAAAAGTTATATAGGAAGAATTCGATGAATAAATAATTATATTTATGTCACATTACGAAATAAAAAATAAATAATATAGTATCCTTCATAACGATGTTATTTGAGACTACATAATCTTGTCACCCAATCAATATAGTATCTAATAATATAATTATTAATTGTATAATAAACTTTTCAAAATGCTACTAATTAGAAACTTACGACTTCTTACTAATCTCAAATGAAAATAAGAGATCTCTGCTACATAAACGCACCATTTAATTTTTGTCTATCCATCTGTTTGTTCTGTTGATGTCTCTCTAGATATTAAACAGAACAATTGGATCTAGTTTGACGTCAGTTTGATTAGCTAATTTCACAAGGAGTAACACAAACTGATATTTAAAAGACTTTAAAAGGAGAAAGTTCTATGTCGACCATATTAAAATTGGAACACTTTTATTGCTTCAGTAGTTCTTCTTTTACCTGGCAATTTCCCAGGTTTAGCCAGGGTCTGCCTTACATGTTGTGAATAGTTTTGGCTAATTGTTTTTACGATCGGCCGCCTGCCTGACATCAACCTTCTTTGGGAATGCATTAGTCAGAGATGTCTAAATACTCTTAAAAAGTAGATATGACTCGGAAAAATCACATTGGTACTTGCCAGGATTGAACCCGCGCCCTCATGCATGAGAGGCGGGCCTTTTAACCACTACCCCACAACTGACTTATTTTATTGCTTCAATAGATGTTTAATTTAAGTATTTGATAAATAAAAATGTAATTTTATTTTAATAAAACAACATTTTTATTTATCAAATACAAATTCTTATAAAATGAATACTTAAATAATATCAAAAGTGTTTCTTAATTTATTTCTTGCTAAACTTTCAGCTAAAAATAAAACACGAAAAAGTTACTGAACGATTTCAATATTTTGATTATTCAATCTCTCGCGTATATAAAGAAACGATCAAAGCCAAACTGTATATTATAAAAATTCAAAGTAAAAATCACTTTCATATTTTTATTATATTAAAGACAATATACCATGCCAAATGTAATTATATCTAAAAGCGTGATGGCTGTAGTCGTGCGACTGAAATCGTGACTTTGTGACTTGTATCGAAGATAACATCTAATTATTATTCCCAATACGTGGCACGATATGTTGTGATAGTACTTCTAATGATAAATAAACCTCTTCTTCACATAACCATTTTTGATGATCGTGGCAAAGCACTATTAGATAGAAGGACTGCTTGACGATAGGTACATTCTATATTAACAAAGCCCTTTACAAAAAATGAACATTGAATATATTTTAGTCCTGCAAATTTTTAAACACAGAAACTTTAAGCAGTTTTCTTTTTACAATCACAATAAAAAGTTCAGTTTTTTTATACGAACAAAACTTATACTGGAATAAAAACTTAATAAATTACACTATACCTATTTGAATTACAATAATGTAATTAACTTTATATGTAATTGTTACATTTATTTATTGAAGGACTCCATAAGGCCGTGACTCAAATGTTTTCACGTTCGCTCTATTCGCGTACTCGCTGACGGCATTACGACACTTACATAGCTTCCTTTGTTTTGTATTTAGTTAATTTAGGTGGGAAAAATTTTCACATTATATTGGCAACACTGCAACATATAAAAATATGGCAACGATTTTTAAATATAGTTCAATGCACCTACAAGAAATAATATGCTAATAATCCTATCATTACTTCAATAACAAAATGAAGCAAATCAAATTTGTTCACAATATAACGAAATTTGATATTTCATTGCACAAGTTTTAATAAATCTATTAACGATAAATTATTAGAAAGCAGAATATGTAAATATAGCTGTGATTTATTAAGCAGGTGCTCTACATTCTGAAACATTGTATTGTTTTCCTCAAAGTGTTTAGTAACTCCTGAAATATAGATATATTTTAGGGGAGGAAAGAAAATAGTATACGTAAAAAACAGAATAAAAAAAGGCATATCAAATGACAAAATAACTTTCGTACACAACAATAACTGCATTGTAATTATTTGAAAATATGTGTTGTATTTTTTACTTTAAACTTAATGTTATAAAGAAATTTAACCGTCAAAATGAAAAAACGACAAAAACTTTCTTTAACTTGGAGTCGGGAATATAAAACAATATTTCTTGGGCACAATATATTTGATGCAAATAGAACTGGAATGGTTAGCTTTAAAATGAAAGTATGGGTATCTTTAAAGTTGTAGGTGTGTTCCATCGGGGTGAACGCACTGGCGCCCTCAAAGCCAATGTTTATATTTGTGGAAACGCTACAAATAGGACATTCCTTGCTACACCTCGCTAACCCACTTGCACGTCGATTGTCTGACAGGCGTCTGCAAGTTCAAAGGTGGATTTTCTAATAGGTAAATGTCATTGCCACACCTGAGAACAATCTTCCGAATACCATCTTCAACAGTCCTAGTGCTTGCCTCAATAAATCGGTGTGGAAATCAAATATTTGTAACACGCCCACTACTTCCAGAAGTCATTTTGGTCTTATAAACAGTAGAACTGCCGAGGTTATTATATGTTTTAATAAAACTGTATTTATTTAATTTGTTTCTTACAGGTCTAAATTAATTCAAAGTTATCTAATTATCCCATATATTAAACTTTGTACAACAACATAAAACTAACGTTTAGAAAACAGTTTTAGTATACAGCTTATTGCCTGTACAAGCTATATTGTCAGGATTCACACATCAGCTAACTAATACCACAAATATTTAACTACGGCACTCAATACCTCTACACTGGGAGCTATAATTGTCAGGCCAAGACACAGTATTTCGTAGTTTCCTTATTACAGTGGGCGTATGCGCAAAGGCAGTGTGAATTTATGTACTCAATAATGACGTCTATCTAGATGCAATACGGTGTAGTTTCATGTGAATGAATTTTGATCTCGTAGCTATACATCAAACAGCGAAGATGTGTCGCGATGACAGGCGACGAAAGCGCTAATTGCTTGAGACAACCAAACTAAATACGTTATGTTTGTGAGCCAAAATACAAAATTTTATGATCTATACTCTGTATTTGCATTTCCGAGAAATTATAATTTCCCCCAACGGAACAACTCAGAAACGTT